CTGAATATGACAGGAAGCTCAGGAAGAACTTGGAACTTGAGTGAAATTGCATACCCTGTTTATGACAAGAATTATTAGTTAAGTCTCACCTACCTGACATTTGGCATGACAAACAAAGGTGTTCCTGCATTTGGTTTTACAGGACTTGCAAGTAAGGGATGATGTTTAGCAAATGTGGTTGTTTCAGTAGCATAATTCTTGGTATCAAGACTGGATGTGCACTGAAACAAACATTTTATAATTCCATATTTAACTTTGAACTTTATAAGTTAGAAATATATAACAATCTTACTATTGCATACATTAGGTCTCCCTGGATCTTGGACATTTGGTAAAGGCATAACACTTTTCCATGCCTTGGAAGTAACATCTTTTGAATCTGCCAACTTGACTTCTTCTAGGTATTTACTGGTGCTGAATAGTGACTGGATGTCTTTCAAAGAGTATCTGCAGACTGCAGAACCAGTCAGACCAGTTCTAAAAAAAACACAAACATCAAATTACACTAGACAAAGTGACACATAGATATGATATCTACCCCATGGATAGGGATTGTTCATACCACCCCTCCCTTTTCCTTTTCCTTAAGCACTGCTATAAAATGGAGTTTCTGATCTTCAAGAGAGAGAGGTCCAGAGGTTGCAGGACCGGTACTCCCATATAATGAAGGGCAGGATGATTGTATAATGTTTTAGGGGTTGAAATCGTAAATGCTCCCTCTTTTAGGGTTGAAAAAGGTCGAAAAGCTGGGGTTTTTTTGCATGTGTGTTATCTTTTACTTTATGGCCATTGGTGACCACAAACTTTAAGCTGGATATCAGTAAGTTATAAGCTTTCAGTGTGCATTGCAATAACATAACCAATGATTTTTGTTTTAAATGATTTATCTTTTGGTAGCTAGATATGTGGTAGAGTGCTTTTAGTCTCACTGTTGAATAGTTAGATAAATTTATCTAACTTAGATAACTATTTAGTTGACGTCACCTAAGATAGTAAAAATGCGCCAAATAACGGTCATGCTAATCCAGGGGGTTGTTTTATCAGAGAATGAGTGAATAGACATTCATTTGTATCATCGTTTCTCCCCCTGATCTCAGTAGCTGTTTACTCGTAGTTTCAAATTGTTTCTAATTTAGTTGACGTTACCTATTGAACAGTGAGACTAAAAGCACTATATGTTTTAGGTCTAAAATTAAACCAGGACCACACCCAAACCTGTTTTTAAGGGGCCAAAAAAAAATTTCTATAATTATCTATGCTCTATTCACAAAGGTAACCCCCCCCAGAACTACTAGACCAGTAGTTAGTAGTATATATTACATTACAAGAATAATCACGACAGATAGATTCCTTACTCTGGTGTGGTGAATACACCATAGATATAGACATCAGATACAGATTTATTGAACTTGAATGTAGATTCTGAGAGAGAAATAAGGAAAATTGAATTATTGTAGTTGGGTTCCCTGTGAACAAAAAGACACAGGAAGCCCATTTATACATAGCTACCTAATAGATGATACTACACAAAGTTTTTGTTTTTTGTTGTTATTATGAATGTGGTTAAATTTAAGCAAAGTTAACTGGGAGTGGAGTGCTGGCCAGCGGTGTGAGACTTGCGCATGCGCAGTTGCTGCCTAAGGCCTCGTGGTTGCTGTAGCTGAGTTGCTGTTAGCCATTGCCTTCATATCGCGGTTTTGCCCCGCCCACCCTCCTCT